ATAGAGAAACTAAAGGAAAAGTTTGTGATCAAACTGCCAGTGAAATGGAAAATTGGCAAATTCAAATGCTTCATGTTGAAATTACAATTCTGTTTGTAGACCACATTTGTAGTGGAAGGATTTGCCTTTTCGTCCAACTTCCTTCGAGACACTTGAGTAAAAAACTTTATAACCGCACAGTTGATGCTTAATATTTATAGAGTTTACGTTTGTTTTAAAGCCGCTGGATGTCTCTGCTCAGAGTCGTCAAGCAGGCTGCAATCAAAACAGCCAAGAGCCGGTGCCGATTAACCCTTTTACTAATGAACAGCATCCAGTTAGAGGTGTTTGATGGGTAACTGGCTGCAGTTGGTCTTTGATGCTTTTTAGTTAAAATGACTTTAATTCACAAAATCCATCAGCAAATGAAAATATAAATCCAGTCATTTAGACGTAGGATGCATTTGAATAAAAGTACATTCTCAAGGACTTCCAGTGAAGCAGACTTGTGATAAAATTGGACTTTTCATCACCAACAGGACCTTCAGAAAAGCAGATTCAAGTCAGATTTTTATCTTCCATCGAGCGAACAGCCTGACCCGATGAATGGATGGCCCTGCGCTCCTGCGTCTGAAGAAAAGCCAACCTGAAGCCCCAAAGTGAGCGGACAAACGGAAAGGCTGCTTTCATCGATTTGGACTAAATCTGCTTTTGATGAGATGTTGTGCGCACACACACACACACGGCATTCTGAGGATGATGGATAGAGGTTTGTTTGGACTGAGGGAGGAAAAAGGTCTGCAGCACAAAGCCATGGCTCTGAAACATTCCTGCCAGCTCCAAACCTTTTATTCACTCATTTAAAATCAAGATCTCCTGCTGCTGGAGCCTTTTCTTTTTAACCTTGCAGTCACCACATAGAACAGATTTTTCTTTGGTTTCTTATTTATGTATTAATATATTGACTGAAGCATTAATAACCATCGATCACCAGAGCTACAGCATAACAGGTAACAGATCCAGTTACGCTTTAAAATATAAAGTGAGCAAATTTTACTCATAATTTTTTTCTGAAGTTCTCACTATAAGTGCAGACAGTTGCAAACGAGCTAATGTCCCATCCTGCCTTAAGCGTCTGCGTTTATTCTAATCCTAATCTAATCTAGTCTTCTCAACCCTTTAAAGCAGGGGTGGAGAACCCTGGTCCTCGAGGGCCGGTATCCTGCATGTCTTTGCTTCAACACTAGGGATGAGCGAGTACACCACTAGCTGTATCTGTACACGGAGTGGGCGTGGCCTAACCCGGAAGTGGGTGTGGTTTACATCAATACGTCTGATCAGAAGTTGCTGTGTGTATTGTTTATTTGAAAACTATTTACAGAGCAGGCTCAGAGTTGAGATTAAATGTTTTTGATCACAATAGTAAAGGAAGTGTTACAGAACAAGTTTTTCAATAAAATCAGAACATTCATATTTAAGTGCATGAATTAAGAGAGAGAGAAGAAAAGATCTTTTCTATAGCGCCTCTCAAGATTAAAATCACGAGGCGCTTCACAAAAACAAAACATGTAAAATAGAAAAAAGAATTTAGAAAATGATTAAAATATATTTCAAATGAGCAAAAAATAGACAATTGTGACTAAAATTTGTAAAGAAAGAGAGAGAGTGAACAGGAAAGAGGGAGTGGATCCTGAGGAAGAGGAGGGAGAGAGGGAAAAAAACCAACCGGAGCGGAGGCAGTGACTGACGCAGCACGAGCCGTTCTCAGCTCTGTCTTGTCAAATGCACCACGTACGTTACGAATAAAGTTACTTTAAAGTAACTTTAAAAAGAAGCAAACTGAAGAAAACATAGGGAGAACTGAAGAAACGGGAACAGTGAAGGAAGCACAGAGAGATCCGTTACTGTCTGTGTGTGTGTGTGGATGGACCGGACGCGGACCTGTGAGCTCCCAGCTGCAGAGTTTTGTGTGTAGGGAGGGGCGGGTGCTCTATGTGACTGGCCAATCACAGAGCGTGAAGACAGTCATTTACCCAGTGAGGATTTTCCTTCAGCACGATTACAGATATTTACGAGTTTTACTTGTTTCATGCTCGTACTCGTCAAAAATGCTTTATCCGTACCGGATACTCGTCTGAAACGAGTATCCGGCTCGTCCCTATTCAACACTTCTGATTCAGTGGTTGATTCACCTGTTCTGCAGCTCATCGGGCTCTGCTAAAGCCTGCTAATCACCTGCTGATAGAAATCAGGTGCGATGATGCAGGGTCGAAACTAAAATATGCTGGATAGCGGCCCTCGATGGACCAGGTTTCCCACCCCTGCTTTAAAGGGAACTCACTGAAATACTTCAAAGTTCAACTCCTGAATGCAATGATGCCATTGAAAGAAAACATTTATTTTATAGATGTTTAACAAAGTTTTGAGCTCAGGGTGCTAATACAGTGCTCAGATATCACCCGCCGTGTAGCTGGTTTACAGGTCCAAGTTCGAGTCGCGACTTGTGAGAAATGGTAAATGGCCTGTATTTGATACAGCACCCTCTAGAGTCCTGGGACCCCCCAAGGTGCTTTACAACACAACCAGGCATTCGCCCATTCACACGCTGGTGGGGATGAGCCACGATGTAGCCACAGCTGCCCTGGGGCGCACTGACAGAGGCGAGGCTGCCGAGCACTGGCGCCACCGGTTACTCCGACCACCACCAGCAGGCACAGGGGGTAGGTGTCTTGCCCAAGGGCACACCGACAGCAAAAGCCTGAGCGGGGCTCGAACCTGCAACCTTCTGATTACGGGGCGAGCACTTAACTCCTCTGCCACCGTTGCCCGTGGAAGAAATGTTTATATTATTATTTAAAAAATCATAAAAGCACAAAATTATCATTTATTATGAAGCTGCGAGATTAAAGCAGAAATTTAAATGAGGAAAAAGCTGCATTAATTTGTAGAAGTGGGTGTGGCTTTTCTATTGCAGCTGCCCACTAGGGGGCGCTTCAGTTTACTTTAGCTTCAGCTTCCACGTTTCTTTCCACAGGCTTGTTATACATGCTGGTCAAACTGCTGTTAAATAATAGCGAGTAAAAGCAACAAATAAACATTGAAGGAGAATCGTCTTAAATCTAAACCCTGAATAAAATCCTGAGCCCCGCGCTGTGATCGGGTATCCTCCCTCAGATGCTGCAGGCAGCCTCAGCTACTCGCTGACATTGTTGCTTTATTATGGAGCCCGATGAAAAATTCAAACGTTTTGTCTTTTCGGTTGAATCTGATTGGGAACGACTATGGAAAAAGGCCGGAGAGGCAGATGCAGGGAGCGCTGTCATCTCTCAAAGCCTCCCAAAGAAAAGCATCTTCCCTCAGCAGACGGGCCAGCCTCAGCTCTTTAGCTGAGTCTCTGAGAGGCTGCTTCCAAAGAAAGATGTCTCAGTGAGCATTATCTAGCCGCCACGCCACAGTGCTATTACCCAGCTGTTACCGGGGAAAACCTCCGCTCTGTTAATGGATCGCATCATTCATGCCCGATGAGCTCAAATATGCATCAATCACTTGTTGTGATAAGTATGCTCCATCGATGAGATTGCACTGTGCAGAAAAGCTCATTCATTGGTTTATTTCTATAAATCTGCAGTGGTCTCTATGGATGGATGCTCTGTGAGTCAAGTGTGCAGAAAAAAGCTCTGGGACTCCTGGGTCAGGGCAAGAAGTGTGTGTGTGTGTGTGTGTGTGTGTGTGTGTGTGTGTGTGTGTATGCCCCCCCACACACACATTTTCCAAAGATAATTTTTGTCCCCTGCACTTTGTACCGTCCAAACGCAACATTATGCTGTATTAAGCAGACTCTAGGTTGAGCACGAGGACCATGCGGAAAACAACCGCCTGTGAAGTCTGTTTCCTGATAGAACGTCCATAAGCTCATCTATTAGCTGATACTTACTAACGTGTGATTGGTGGTTCCTGCCACCGGTGTACCTGCATTCCTGGCATAGCATAAAAGAGCCTCTAGGCTGTAGTTCTGTACGTATTTTTTGTATACTTACTGTAAAGACCCCCACCCCCGTCCTCATGCCGGCTGTGTCCCCCCCACTTCTAAAGTCAAAACCACGTCCACGCATGTCCCACCATGCTGTTGAATTGCTAATGCTAACAATTAGCTTCTACTGGCTGAGACATGTTCTGCTCTCTCCTTCCCGTTGGCAGTGACAAGCCAAGGTGGGTGGGGCCATGAGTGCTAATGTTCCCGGTGGCGTAGAACGTCTGGATTATTCTGATGCGACCGTTTCCCCGTACTTCCGTTCTGCGGCTGATGTGGATGAGGGTTGAAGAACTATTCACACTCAGCATATTTCCATAAGTGGTTAGGGTTTCTATGGGAACGAGCCCCTATTAACGTTACACAGATTTTCGACCAAAACCACTTCTCATATCTGGACGGACAGCTCAAAACAACGGCCGTTCCCGTTATGTCCCCAGCTTCCAGGGAACACATTGCTGAGCTGCTTCCTCTAAGTCTGGTCCTGCTGGAGATTGTGTAAAAGTGGAGTTCTGCTCTTCACCATCATCCTCCATCCGACGCAGGCTCAGAATAAAGGTGGGAATGAATGGATGATTCGAACAAACAGCTTTTATTTTTAAATGAATTGGCGGTGCTTCGTGTTCATTCGGTTCTCTCTTCCCCACATCTGGTGTCGGCCTTTTTCTATTTTGTGTTCTTTTAGGGACCCATAAATTGAATTGAATAATAATTAAAAGCATTGAAAGAATAGTTCTGAAACTAATTCATACCCATTGCATTATTGGTCCTTCTCCGTCGTTGAAGGTTTATTTCCTCGCCGTTTTGGTTTTCACCCTGGAGCTTTTCTTGTCCGATCCGATGAATTGTTTACCTTTGAGGAGGAAACGCTTCACTTTTCTTCTCATTCAGCAAACAGAATAACCAGTCTGTCCTCCCTGGAGCTCCGCGGCACACCAACAGTTCCCACCAGCACGCTGCGATGACTGAGCACCTGTTCTTTCTTCTGCAGATGTGTCGGTGAGTCTGCTGTCCCTGTTGGTGACCACCTGTGGTCTGGCGCTCTTCAGCGTCTCCCTGTTTGTCTCATGGAAGCTCTGCTGGCTGCCGCTGACTGGTCGCTTCCTCCCAGATGTCCTCAAGGGGGCACACTTCCTGGGGGGAGACCAACAACCTGTCCTCACAGAGGTAAGGAAGAAAACTCGATCGTCTTTTTAAAATGTTATAGCCAAGGGAACTAGAAAAGAGTGGATTGCCAAGGCTGGGAAGAAGCTTCTGTTCCAGGTGAAGACGTTCAAGTGTCCCACGTCTTGTTCACAAGTAATGGTTGAATGCATTCAATAAGCCATTGGGACCATGTCCAACTCTCACCTGTGGTTCTGAGCTGTGGATAATGTCCAAAAGAATAAGACTGCAAATGGAAACGGCTGAAAGAGCTTGGCTCCTCCTCATCGAAAGGAGTCAGATGAGGTAGTTTGAGCATCTTGAACATCAGGATTCCTTCTGGCTCCTTTCGTGCACCGGCGTCGTGACCGTTATGTCAGAGAGGGACTCAAAGAAAAGTTGGGAGGAAGCTTTGGTTTAGTTTATATTAGATGGCTTTCTTGTTTGCCGTATCTGCTCCTCCCCAGAGACACAACGGACATCTGGAGATAATAAGCCAAAATGTCCCCAAAGGACAGGTTATTGAAAAGGTTTAGTCGAGCAGGCACGTCAGCTGACTGAGATGGATGAACAGATTTGTGACTAAATGCTTTCCATAACAGGTGGACGGGGAGGAAAGGGAGTACAGCGAGGATGGCTGTGTAAAGGAGCCTCCAGGCCCTCCATCAGCTGTGGCTGTTCCAGAGTCAGCTCTCAAGATAAGCCACACGTCTCCGGACATCCCACTGGAGACCCAGACTAAAGTGGAGAAAAACCAGGTTCACACTCTGGCCAGGGACCGGGTTCAGAGGCAGATCACTGAGCCTACATCATCCGTGCGGTGAGTAGACATCCCTTCACACACACCGGTCTGGTCTGGTTTGGATTTGATGGACCATTAAAGCAATCGTCTTTCCTGCAGGCACAACTCCATCCGTCGTCAGCTGAACTTGTCCAATCCGGACTTCAACCCTGCCCAGTTCCAGCGTCAGGACTCTCTGTCCGGTTTGGGCCGGATCAAACCAGAACTGTACAAGCAGCGGTCTGTGGATGCAGAGGACGGCCGTACGACGGACAGCTGTGGGCGTCTCCACTTTATCCTAAAATTTGACTTTGATCTGGAGCAGCTGATCGTGAAGATCCACAAGGCCCAGGACCTGCCCGCCAAGGACTTCTCAGGGACTTCCGACCCGTATGTGAAGATCTACCTGCTGCCCGACCGCAAAACCAAGCACCAGACCAAGGTGCACCGCAAAACTCTCAACCCGGTGTTTGATGAGGTGTTCCTCTTTCCGGTGGAGTACGCCGAGCTGTCCAACCGTAAACTTCACTTCAGCGTCTATGACTTTGACAGGTTCTCTCGCCACGATTTGATAGGCCAAGTGGTGGTGGACAACTTCCTGGACCTGGCTGACTTTCCACGGGAGACCAGACTGTGTCGGGACATCCAATACGTTACCTCGGTGAGTCTCCCTCTCCCTCTCCTCCCTCTCCTCCCTCCCTCTCTCAACATACAGGAAACATGCTGCAAACGGACTGCAGCACCAGGTATATCTCCATTTTTTTTAAGTCCAACAGACGCCAGACGGACACGCTGAAGTTACAAGTGCCATATTCATGACGCTGGGCGGTGGGGGTCTGAGTGATGTCATTAACTCAGTGAAGGGTCATTGAGTACGTTTACATGCAGCCAATATCCGGGTTATGATCGGGTTAAGGTCGGTATTCGGGTTTCTGAGTTGATCAGAATAATCCGTTTACAAGCATAAACAGAAAGAGTTACCTCTAACTTGCATAACCCGATTTAAATGCGGACGTTGGGGTAGCGTCAGGACGTATGGACTACGTCCAGACGCAATATGCGTCATTTCTGGTTCTTCTCGTTCCGGTATCCGTGAAAACAACAACATGTTTCCCAGTTCGGAAGAGATAGCGACCGCGTTTGTTTGTGCTTTAGTTTCCTCGTCACTCAAAGTGTGGTGCTGTGCCGCGACTCGCCATTTTGCCCCCAACTTGTTGTTTACTTCCGGTGTTCTGGCGCATACAAGACGTCTCGCTTCTCAAAAGACCAAGATTCTTTGCGAACAGAGCATGCGCAGAACACACGCTTCGATGGGGATGTCCCGGTATGCGTTTACACGACCAAACATTCGGGTTAGAAAAGGGTTACCCCAGGTGTAGTAACCGGGTTTTTAAAAACCCGGTTATGAGCATATCCGGGTTTTTGGCGGTGTTTACATGGACCTGCGGAACCGGGTTATTGTGAATATTCTGGTTTTAAAAGGGTTACTGGCTGCATGTAAACACACTGATTTTAGCACAAGAAAATGTTTAAAAAATCTGAAAAAGTTGCTAAGAATCTCTTTAAATCTTTATTTTACATGAAAGTTCAAACAAGATGGGCTCAGTAACCCTTTCGTTATTTATTTTGAATCCCTGGTAAAAAACAAAAAGGCAATAATCAGAAAAACATTTAAATTAAATGTTAATGACACCTCAAACGTATGCTAGTGAGCTGCATGCTAGCATAAACATGTTCAGGGTCAGAAACGCAGCAGGGATCAGCTCCTCCAAACACAAACAGCCTGACATTTTCTGATGCAAACACACAGGTGAGTGAAGCACAGACTTCACACCACCCCCAAATGCACACAGACGCAACAGTGTTGCTAGGCAACACAGTGGTTGTTGACAAGCACTGATGCTTTTCACACCGTAAACAAACTCCTGCAATGCTTCCTCATTTAAACGGACAAAAACACACCGGCCAGATCCGCTGAGGCCCGCTGATGTGGGGTGACGTAACCATGGCAACAGTAGTGATCAGCACTCATACCCAGTGGGAGGTCTGGAGGAATTTTGGTCCTCTACTCCAGAGTTTGCCGCTGTTGTGTTCTGCTACAGCTCAGCTGAGAGCTGATCGACGCAAAGTGGTGTCTGTTCTGTAGTACTGGAGTACTTTTATCAGTACACAAGCACAGTATCAGCCCGATACCCAATGCTTAATTGGTACTGGAGCATCTTTGGGGACTGATCTACTCAGAAGAACGCTACAGAGATGGTTCATCGTTGTAATTCTCTTCTTTGTGTAACAAGAGTCCTTAAATCACCAATTCCTAGATATTCTCAGCTCTCCATTCAGTAGAACGGCAGCTTTTTTCCATTTCTGATTTTTCATTCATGAAACGTTGGATAAAAACAGGTTCCTGCTCACAATCCTGAGCTGTCCTTTATGCAGTAAACAAAAACAATTCCTCCAGGTTTTCCTCCTGCACGGAGCTGGAGTTCAGTCTGGAACTCTGAAGGTGTGAAGCTTCCACGGACAGCACAGCTGCTCCTCATCGAGTAATTAAGTTCAAAGCTAGACAGCGACCATTAGCCAGGTCAGCACCGATCAAGCTTCAACCTGCATAGACCCAGTGGGACACACACACACACACACACACACACACACACACACACACACACACACACACACACACACACACACACACACACACACACACACACACACACACAAATGAGGTCAGTGTAAATGGGTTAGATCCTCTTCTGAGAATAGGTACGGCCGCTCCGTCTCCCATGTCCAAGTCAGAGGAATCGAGTCTCTCCATCCCTTTATCAATCATTCATAAATCCACCAACATTCGGCGGTTCAACACCGGTCTGTTGTGAGTCCTTCCTCTCGGCTGAAAGATGGTTGAAGATTCAGGTTTTTTTCACATTTAGTTGTTAGTTTGATTTCCAGACTTGCGGGTTCGCACTAATCCCACATCCTAATTGAATGACTCTGATCTTTCTAAACAACAACTAAACATCTGGTTCTTATTCTGGTTTATTTAAACCCAACAGTCATGTCTGCCCACCACTAACCACAATCCCTCGTAAATCTCCTCAAACGTCCGACAACGTGGACTGGAAGATTGAAGTCCTGAACAGGTTTGACTTTCCCTGGAATCCTTACAGGTCCAGCTGGTTCTCTATGTGTTAATCAGCCGTGCATCTTCACATTGAGTTAACAGCCCTCATGAATGAATGGAGCTTCCATTCTGTGGTTAATCATGTCAACAGTTACCCCTCCTTTCCACCGGAGCCGTCGGCAGCGTGAGTCGGCCGCGTCTCAGGAGCAGCATGTCGCGGCCCTTACGCGCCGGTTCTATTCTCTACGCGCGACGCCTCTGAAACGGGTCAAGTTCGACATTTTTGGGGAAGGAAAGACAGGAAATCGGACGCGGAAACGGAGCGAAGCTCCCGAGATTTTCAGAATGAAGAAACGTACTGCCTTCCGGTTGCTTTACTTTAAAAAAATTTACTAACTGTGCGTCCCCGTGAGAAGTTATCACCTAGCTAGCGGTCTCCTTTGTTTTTCAGGTCCGTATTGGCGATTATAAAACGGACAGAACATAAAACACAAACCTCTTGGAGCCATGTTGTAGTTTTCTCCTGCTTGTTGTTGTGTTTACTGACGAAGTCACTCGTGTGACTTCGTGCTCGGTCGGTGACAGCTGCTCCCCTGCTGCTTCGCGTCTCTGGTGGGAAGGGCCAAGCAGCAGCTTACGCGAGCAAGACGTGCTGCTGCTGATGGCCCCGGTAGAAAGGAGGGGTAAGAAAACAAGCTCACGATGTGGCAGAAAAACATCCATAAGCTCACAAAGAATATGACCATCTCTAAACTTCTGTTCATCTCCAAGTTCTTGGAAAAGGTTGTGGCTAAACAACTCACAGCTGCTCTTGAACATAACATCTATGATGGTTTCCAGTCAGGTTGTCGTAGAGCTCATTCTACTGAAACAGCTCTTCTTAGGGTCTCTAATGACCTTCTGACTCACAGTGATGCAGGGGACTGTTCTGTTCTGGTCCTGCTGGACCTGACTGCAGCCTTTGACACTGTTGACCATCACCTGCTACTGGAGAGGCTGAGAGACTGAGTAGGCCTATCAGGAACTGCTCTGGAGTGGTTCTCCTCTTATCTCAGCGTTCAATCTCTGTGGCCGTCTCCAAGCTTAGGTCCTCCACCACCTCCCTCAACCATGGTGTCCCACAAGGTTCTGTGCTTGAACCTCTGTGGTTCTTCCTCTATCTGCTCTCTCTCTCCAGCACATCCTGAGCTCCTTCAAAGGAATCTCCTACCATCTTTATGCAGATGACATCCAACTGTACATCTCCTTTAAGCCCCATGAGATGTCTAAGCTGCAGCTGTTACACACCTGCTTAGACTCTATCAAAACCTGGATGGTGGGAGCTTTCTACAGCTGAATGAAGATAAGACTGAGATCCTCATCTGTGCCCCAGACAAGCTGGTTCCCAAAGTCAGAGACTCTCTTGGTCAGCTTGCTTCTCACACCAAACCTTCTGTCAGGAATCTTGGTGTGACCTTTGACCCATGTCATTTCTCTTGTTCTCTCGTCCTTTTTTCGGTCAGTTCGGTTGAATTTAAACCTCAAAATGAACCGTTTACATTTCAGCATCGTCGTTTTGTAGTTGGGGGTAAAATCCAGAAAAAGCTGTTACCTGAAAGAATCTTCTTCTCAGGGTTCGCAACACAAATCATCTGTCTCCATCTTCTGCATCCCCTACTGTTCACACTCCTTTCCTTCATCCAGCTGGCCCTCTGATGGATTCTTGATCCCATCCATCCTCCCAAGAAGAACCCTGAAGTCATCACAACTCCATTTAAAACCTCCAGCATCACAAGCTGCTGTTTGTTTATTTCTCCAGCTCTTTCCAGCCGGATCATCAACAATTACCAGACAGCTTTTCAGCTGCAGCTGCACGTCGGACATTTCAGAGACATTTAAACGTTTCACTTTAAACCACTTAAGTGTTGCTTCAGCTTTGTCTTTTCCCTGTACTGTGGTTTTCCTTTATAGCACATGTCACAGTACGGCCTGGTCTTCCCTGTTCCGATTCCTCTGGACACGGGTGGGACTGGACCCGTGGAGTGGTTCTGACCGTCCAGACTTTAAGGACAGAAAGGGTTTGAAACCTTTTCAGGGGAATCTTAACAGAACGCTACAAAGCTCCAGTCTGCTTCATGTTGGGAAAAGGATCTATACATGAATCCATATTTGTAATTAATACATGTGCTCATTTATTATTTATGAACCATACATGTAGTCCACACACACAAAGGTTGTAGATTCAAATGACTTTAAAAAGCAAAATAAACAACAACAACAAAAAAACTACTAAAACAAATGTTGAACACCAACTCTTTGTCATGTTCCGTGTCCTCGTGGTCCCCAGCCCCTTCCAGGTTTCCCTCATGTTCCCCCTCCTAGCAGGTTTTGTCCTTTGGGTCCCCAGCCCTCTCCGGTTCTCCCTCCCGGTCTCCCTCAGGTCTCTCCTAGTCACCCCTCTGAAGTTTTTCTATAGGTTCAGCTTTTATTTTTATTAGTCTACTTTAGTGTGTGTTTTCCTTCTCCACTTGTTAATTAGTCCCCCTCACTCCTCTGGTCATTAG